ATTAACTTCAAGCAGCATGATATGAAAGACAGTTCATGCTATGGTTTGTTTCAGATGTTACATGATGTTAATATGTCCATCAGATAATCAGTTTCCTCAAACTACATTATAGATGTTCAATCAGTTTGCTTTGCTCTAAATTAGAGTATCTTTCTATGATATCACTTAACCCTTACTGTACTGGGCTATTTCGAGCACTCTCTGACTGGGGGGGGGGGGGCCTGGGAGGCCCCCCCCCCATGATCTCGGCCGTCGCTTGTCCGATGAACGCGAAAATTTGCATGTTTGTAGATATTTACGTAAGGAACAAGATGGTATAATTAGTTTTTTCCTAATATGCAAATTTTTGTCGTTATAGCCTAATTAATTATGCGAAATGCTAATTTTATGCATTTTACAGAAAACTCTACATATTTGTCCGTAGACTTGTGAAGAATCTTGAAAATGTATTGAATAAATGTTTCCTTCATCTCAAATTCATGAGGTTTCATTATTTTTATGATATTTGAAAATGCATAGGTTAATTTGCATAAATTATGAATACGCAAATTACGCATTCATGAATTTAAAATCTGGAAATATATAGGGAACTAGAATCATTACAAAAATTGTCAGACTCCACTTTTGTAATGTTGAAACTCATTATTCATATGAAACTTCTTTTCTAACACAAAATAGTTATTAGATGTAATTAATAATGATAATTTATGCAAATTTGATGCAATTTTCAACTATTTATTTTTTTGTGTATTTCATTGTTTTTTATTTCTTATTATATCTATTGTTTTATTTCTAATGTATTCTTTTGTTCTGAAATACACCAAGTTACTTTGAGAAACATATAAAAGCAATTTGATATCAATTCATATCTTCACATTTCTGCTTGTACATGAATATATGCAATTATAGCACTTTTTTTATGACATGCGCATACTAATTGTTAAGTAATACCTTACAGGTATATCCGATTTCGACGAAAATGGTATCAAAATGTGCGTAAGACTTGAGGGAAAAAAGTCATGAAACGACAATTCAAAATTCCGAGCGGTTGCGGCGCGATCTCCGAAAATGTCGAGGGGGGGCCTCCCAGGCCCCCCCCCCCCCCCCAGTACAGTAAGGGTTAAATACTGTACATGTAAGCTAAACGCAATAAATCTAATTACAAACGTAGGTGTTAAAACTAGAAACAATTATCCTCTACTGCAATAGGAGACTGTTTAAAAAGACGACAGTTTATGATGCAAGTTTCTTTTACAAGTTACACAACAGTACTAAATGCTCTTAATTAAATATCAATTAATTAATGATTAATCTTCACTCTTGATGTGCTAATATCACAGGTGACTAAAAAAACATTCAGAGCATAAATCAAGCTCTCTCTTTTATTTGTGTAACATTATAGATTCATAGTACATCATTGTCTACATGATATTTTCTCTGATCGACAATAAACGATGGTATATATATTAAAGCAAGAGATTGAAGGACAACCAGTAAGCCCATTCATATTGCACACCTGCTTATAAATACATGTATATGCCTAAGTTTGAGGAAGATTCAATAAATATAATTAATTCAATTCAATTCAATTCCTTCTATTCATCCACAGAAATACATGGACATTTGTTTTGGTCACACATTGTAAAAATAAGTAAGATATATATATGAACAACTATATCGTTTGGTTTATAATCACAGAAGAACCATCAAAATAAAAGATAAGACAACATAGCAATATTCTTATTATTACACATTGAAAATGATGAAAAGGATAGAACATCAGAAAGGGTGTTCATTCGATGCCTTTTCTTTTTTAGGTAAATTTTGGTGGGAGGGTCAAGCATTTGAAAAGTATTTGTACATACATGTTAGTACATGTGAGGGTAACTCATCAAATGAAAGAAAAACAAATAAATTAATACATTTTGGAGAGGCTTCACATTATTCACATTTTCATGTTTTATTGCCCCCCAAAATTGGTATTCTCTTTTCTAGTAATTTACAGATTTACAGACATTTGAACACGTTTTACAAGTTTTCCTTTTAGGAAGCTGACAAAATAAAAACATAATTGCATCCCTCGTGTTCATAAATTGTCAACCAATATTAAAGACAAAGACAGGTTCTGGTCATGCGATTGCGTTGTGAAAGAAAAGTTGTGGAATGGCTTAGAAAAGGTTGATCATCTAGCATATAAGTATTGGTGTGCACGGCAAGGTTCTGGAATCATCAAAATGATAAGAAATTTGGCCCAGTCTTGGTAAAGTTACAAGCACATATGGGACTACACGAACATGTGGCATAAATATCTGTCCCGATTTTGATGATGTAACATGCCATATTTAGATATTAACGCATTTGAAGAGCCATGCTTTTCAAGGAACATTTTTTTATCTGATGTTCTTCCACATTTGCATAATACAATCTTTAAAGCCTATTTCATAAAATAGTGTTGAATAATGGCAGGAGTAGTCCTTTCTACACAGATCAATTATCTTCATGTAGTCCTCTATTTTGAGATAAAAATCCATATTTCACATAGGTTTTGAACAAATAGTTTACTTTGCTTGATTTTATCATGGACCTATTTCGGATGGACATTCAACGTGATTCTTTCTTTGATCCTATGATAGTCGCCGCCTTCTGATTATGTGCATCTTAATGACAGCGTTCAGCTGTTTCAACAATAACGACTGTGTAAGCATCTTTGGTCATTGACAAAGGAGCAGTTTCCCTCTCTTTGGTTTTGTTTGGATGGTGTGCTCTGTAAGAGTGTGTCTTAAATAAAAACATCCCCAATGGGGAGCAGCAAAGTTGAAAGCAGACGATTTGGGTGATATTAAATGTATTATTACTGATTCGCAAACTTTCGCACACACCCATGACCTTATAAACAATTAGAAAGCCATGATCTTTATAAGCCCTGTGCGTTGTAACTCTGGAATATTATGAGGAAATAGGGGGAAACGGGATTTTAAATCACAACCCCAAAATCCAAAAATAACCTCTATCTGGTAATATCAACATGTTTCTCAAAATAAAATACATGTACAGTACACGGAACAACAATTTCCGATTATAAGCCAGAACTGCACATCGATTTTCCATGATTTAGGCAAGTAATTATCTTCTGCGCATGTAGATTAACATGTGTAAAATCACTATCTTGATTCTGTCCCGGCTTTTTGGCGGTGACCATGATGAGATCAAAGTGAATAAACATGAACGGAATGTTATTGAGACAACATTGACGGAGACAATCACAATGAATTTGTTAATAAACTGATGAATGTCCATCCGTAATAGGTTCATGATTTTATCAACTTGAAATACCTGTGCCATATCCTTTAACATGTACAAGTAGACTGGGTATTGTTGAAGTGGGTTATTTTTAGTTTAATCTTCAAATAGCTTAAACGACCATATAACCTTTTAGTCATATGGCATCATTTTGAATGAAAAATGAAAACCTGATGAAGGGCACAACACATAACAAGGTAAATTACAAGAGAAGAGGTTGAAAAATTGAAATCCGCTTTTCTCACATCAACCTTTGCCCCTTATTTGAAATAGTAAGAGTATAAAAATGTCAGTTAACAGTATAATTTGAAGGTACCTTGTGCACACAATTCCTACTGACGCACTCAAACCTGTGCATCATTTGTATACTAAAGCAGCCAGCAATGTCTTTGATGTGGCCTCAAAATTGTACGTTTAATAATTCTATTTGGCAGAAAATAGTTTTAACACGAGTGTGTATTGTGAAATCGTTACTTGCAGATATAATGAACAATTAATAGAAATTTGCAAACTATGTGTCAACAATAACATTGTGTAACGTCCGAAAGACCCTCCTTGCGATTACAACAATTTATTGAAAGTGAAAGACCTACTTATAAATTTGTGTTTAAGCCTATCTGCACTAGTTTGACCAGGAGGGATTAGACCTCCCTGCGTGGTCACTGGCAGGTGGTTATCTCATCAAATCAGCTCTCAATTAACATAAGAAAAAGGGGATCATTGGGAACCAACGGGAACCACTAAGGCATTGTTTGCTATATAGAGGGCGCAAATAGCTACAAGTAAAGCAGTCCCACTTTAGTACATGCATGAGGTTATGTATATGTTGATCACATCACTTTCATTATTACCAATGATGTACAGGTTCCCAATCCTGAATTATTATTATAGCTCATTGAATATTCTTCATATTTATTAAAATATACATACATGGATGAAAATCTTTAATTATCAATAATCTTAAACTAGATTCTTTTCTGCAGATGACAACAGTTTACGTACTCTTTATAAGGTATCATTTTGACAGCGACAGCTTGGCTTTTGTATTCTGAATCAGTAGATATTGTACAGTGATGGTACACGTATCGTATCTACATGTTCCTATTTATTTATTAGTCTGTTTGTTAAATGGCAAAGACCAGCAGTTGAGGCTGAGAAGCCTGAAGGTCACTGTATACGCTGATAATCTTATTTACAAACTCATTATACATTCTATAGCAGAATCAATAATGTCTGAGGAAAAATTATACATGATAAATACATACATGATAAAATAAGCCTATTTATTATGAATATAGTTGTGGTAAATATACTTGATACTACGTTATACATTTGCACAAACATAGTTTCTGAAAGTTTGAAGGGCTCTGGACGGATAAGATAATATTTACAGTGAAAAATGTATGTACATATCCAGTAATTTCCGTTATGCACTTCGTCATGTTTAAAGTCATCTGCAGAATATTATCCATGGTGTGCCTCTCTCCTTAGAAGTTGTACGTATAAAGGGGTATACTTCAGTAACATCTTGAGTATCAGAACCAAGTTGTGGTATTTGGTCTTTCTGTGGGTATAACGAATCATTATGAAGTCCTGCGTGACTTGAAGATGACTGTAAAACCTTGTGATCTCCGCTTGTTAGCAAGTTGTGTAGGTCAGTGAACATGTCCCCAGGTGTGAATTGTCAGAACTTTTTTTTTATCCGGCCAGTAGAAAAGTGCAGCAGATGCAATACTATAGATTGAATGATAAGTTGATGATCGTGCATGATATACAAAATCTGTCTACCCACCATAAGGCTTGTGTAATAATAATAATCTGTTCTTGTATAGCATATAACACATGATATATAGCGTCCCTACACACTTCCCTAGAGCTTTGGAAATTATAGCTCCGGTAGCCATTATCAGCGCACAGTGCATTTCACTTAATAATCCTACCACAACACCTCTACGTGTACGATTAGAGTCTGGTTAAAGAGTACTATTATTTTCTAATTCAATCTTCTTCAATTATCTTGGTCTATTATGCACGCATTATTAACCTGATTCCAGATTATCTTTCGCTGCATTATAGTTTATTTATCTTGTCTACATATTTCAACCTTGAAGAGCTAGGTCCAAATTCCTTTTGAAATGTCTTAACCTCATCACAATATTTAATTTGATAAAAATCTTTAGATGATTAGTCTTTTTTTACATGACTTGCAAATTAAGACTGATCATACCAAGTTGTGATTGAGGAAATTCCTTGTGCATAACATTCTACATGCCATTTCATATTCAACAATCTTTGGCTTATAACATGTGCATTAAGACTTGAGTTAGTGGAATATGTTTGAGTCACAAGCAGTGGAAGGCATACCGGTAGTCGATCAATCGTTCAAGTTATCATTTCAAATATTCTTATTTTGACACACATGAAGAGTAATAACTGTTAAGCGCCAGGAGTGTCAAGTCTCTCAAGTCTGACAGGTCTACATGAGTGCTATACAAGAACCCACTATTATTATTGATATTACAATCATATTTTTAAAATCATATTCCAGAACATAAAATTAGATTTATCAAAAAATTTCCCACAATAATAATGACAGTGTTTTGCTACTAGAGGTTTGTAGAGAAAGAAAAGCCTTTACCTTACAACTCTAAAAAAAAGCTTTAACCACTTTACAAATGTTCATTTCAATATCGCTCTGTGCTCCTTTACATCCCATTTCTGGTAATTTAGCGAATAGGTGTTAGGCGTCAGGGCTAAGTTTAATACTAGAGCCCATGGTACTTCCAAACTCGAAACTGAATAATAAATTAGTTGTAACATGATTATTTTTTACCTATGCCTACAAAATTCTTCTGGGGCAGTATGCCTGATATATCTCTATATTTATTTATATCATTATGGATACATGTGTGTTACACTTTGGTGTTTTTAAGATAAATTAAAAGAATATTGGCTATATTTTGTTGTCATGTCGCTCCTTTACAAAGCATATTGAAGGGTAATAAATGCATGCAATAAAGTATTGCATATATTGAAGATAGCCATGCATAGATTGTACAAACACATTCTCCAAAGCCCAAAATTTACAAATCTTACCTTCAGGTAGTATTATTCCATCCCAGTCACTGGTGGTTCCATCACCAGTCACTGAAGCTGCATCTGTAAGTATGGTAATATGCAGATATTGATTTATGCTTATTTTTTCCCCAACAAATCCATCTTAATTTCCTACTGAAATGGAACGCAAAACACTCATCAAAATTACACCACAAGGTCTATTATTACTGTTCTTGTTATGCCCATGTAATTCAACATCATTCCTTATAACCGTCTCCTACCCCTCCATTGCAGAATACCAAGTCTTCCACAACATATCCTCTTTTTTTAAAAGTGAATAAAGTGAATACCTTAGGCGAGGCGTCAAAAAAAAATATACCAGCCGGCGGCAGCTAACTGCACTTATGCGTCTTGGCTGCATTTTTTTAATTAGCTCAGCCGGCTACTGCTGGCGGTAGGAAATGGCATCCAAAAGCATGCGCCGGCTGCCGCCTATCGAATGGAAACTGAGCCTCGGAAAAAAGCTAGAAAACATGAGCTCAGCCTGGCTGCCGCTGGCGGGAGGACAGTGATATGCCGCCAAACTCCAGCCTCTCGCATGGAAGCCGAGCCTCTTCTTAATGAGGTCGTCTGGGCCCCCGCCGGCCTTATTGAAACAGCCGCCCGCCGCCTGGTTCACCGCCACATCCTGCCAAACGATATCTTTATAAAGCAGAATCTAATTTGTCAGAGCAAAAGAAACAGCGCCATCTTATCATCACTGATAAATAACACGAAAAAACAGTATAGCCTTGCGAAAATATCTTTTCAGATTGGACAGCCTTATAAACCCCAAAACAACAATAACAACTTGTTACTAGAGACAAATATGTGGTCATTCTTTTCTGATATGCCTTTTTCAATAAAGAGACCAGTCATACCGTGGATATATGTGGGCTCACTTCATGTAGATGCATCCTGCCTGTAAATGGATTAGATGCCTTGTATTTTCATATTCAAAAAAATAATTTTGGTAACAACATAAGATTTGCTATTTTAAATTACTGGCTCGCCCATTGTTTATAATACCCAAATCATATATTTGTGTTTATTTTTGTTATGCTTCAATAATATAAATCCTATTATATACCTTACTTTAAGAATCTTTCCTAATCCTGCCATCTGATTGGTTGAAAGTGAAGTCGTGATTTTAACTATGCCCGCCAAAATGATCTGTTTTTAAATATGCCTGCCAAAATGTAAATCTTTGTCAAGTCGAGGTGAGGGAGATAATATTATCTTTGTCAAGTCGAGGCGAGACAGATAATATTTATATTATATTATAATATGCCGCCGTCATGTTTTCAAGTTCTGATGAGTTGCGTTTGAAAGATAGAGTTCAGTCTAGAAATCAGGGGTACTTTGTTTTTCGAAGAATTTAGAAAATACAAATCTAACGTACATCTCTATCAGTTATTTGGGGACTGAATAGATAATAAAAACAAACATTTCAACGTCAAGCAAGGCAATGAAGCATATATTGTCATATAGCTTTTTACTAAATTAATTTTCTGTAAATATATTGAGTAAATAGGTCGATAATAGAAAAGGGTAGAAGGTATAAACAGTTTTTCTTCGAGTGTATTTTTTTCGTTTTAAATAGAAATTCTATAACTCTATTAAAAAGAAAAAGAAAACAGAAGCTATGTCGAGAATACAAGTGCGTGATTTAGAAGGAAAGATAGAAATATCAATAATCATCACTATAAAAACAAATGATGAAATTCAGTTGGAGAATGTCCCTGATTTCAAGTACCTGGGAGCACATATGGTGAGCACAGAAAAAGATGTGAAAGCTCGTAAGGCAGCAGCATGGAGAGCGTGTAGTAAGCTTGGAAGAATCTGTAAATCTTATCTTCACAGGCAGTTCAAACAACATTTGTTTGTTGCTACAGTTGAATCTGTGCTGCTATACGGCTGCGAAGTATGGACAGTTACAACAAAGTTGGCAAAGGAATTAGATGGTTGCAACACCAGACTTCTTAGAACAGCATTCAACGTGCACAGGAGTCAGCATATGACAAATAAGGAGCTGTACGGGAAACTACCAAAAGTATCAGAAAAGATCAGGGAAAGAAGACTACGTTTTGCAGGCCACAGCTGTAGGAAAATCAATGAACCAATATCTCAGCTTCTACTCTGGAAAACCAAAACACGGGAAGAGGAAACCTGGAAGACCTCATCTTACCTATACAGACCTAGTCAAGAAGGACACGGGACTTGAACTGTCAGAGGTAAAAGCAGCCATGCTGGACAGGAATGTGTGGAAGGCCATCACAGCTCGGGCAGTTGACCCGACTTAAGCATCAATAATTGTCCGGCCAGCGCATGTCTTAATTATCTGTCTTTAAAAAGCGGCCAAATTCAAAGCTCCCTCTATATAGAAAACTTCCCCAATCGGTGCCCGTTGGTCCCCCATGATCCTCTTTTTCTTATGTTAAATGAGAGCTGAGTTAATGAGATGGCCACCTGTCACAGTGACCTCGCTGGCTCGCAGGGCGGTCTAATCACTTCTGGCTGAAGTAGTAAAGCCTGCCTTTAAAGAAAGAGAAGATGAACTCTATCACGTTTACAAAATGTGTCTTAAGGAAGTGAGAAAAACTATCAATAATAAATAGCCCGGTCTATTTTGTTTTCTAAATTATGGACCTTAAAAATCATGAACTTTTACATTTTGATTCGATCATAATTATGAACCCTTTCTTAATTTCGCAATTTAGAATCCATTTCCAATTTCATAATGGGCTTTTTTCTCATTCATTCATTAAAAATGGTTTACTCTAATACTTTCCTCGCGGCCACGAAGGTTCACAAGATGGACATTTCAAGAGGGACATTGGCAATAAAAATGCATTATTGAAGTATCATGAATAAAGCAACCGCATAGAAAGAACAAAAAAAGGCATTAAATCAATGAGACATGTTGAACGAAATAAGGTAAAATATGACGATAAGAGGGAAAAGTAAATATACAACAAGGATGAAGGGGAGAGGGAGAGCGAGGAGAAACAAACGGCGATGAAAAGAGATTTTTAAAAAAGAGACATGAAGAGAGAAGAAAAGACGCGAGTGTTGAGAAAGATTGAGAGGGATAGATAAGAGAGAGATATAGAGAAAGAGATAGTGAAAGAAGGACACATAGAGATAAAGAAAGAAAATAGAAAAAGAAAGAGAGAAGGATAAAATAGAGAAAAAGAGTTACAAAGGAGTGACAGGAATATACAGGGGATAGTAAGAAATAACTGAATCCTCGATGTATTAACCATATAAACCCGGGGCCGAAGGCTAAATTGTTTTTCCTACGGACTATCTTTAGTACTTGCGTATGCGCAAATGGTCATTTTCCTCGACGACATAAATATAAAAATTATTTCGTCAACTTAGTCAGCATCATAGCTATATATTTTAATGCAGGCGCGGAGCTAGGATCTTATTTTAGGGAGGGGCGGTAGTGAGCAAGCGAATCACTTAAAAAGCGCGCAAAGCACGCTCATAAGGGGGTGTGGGCATTAGGCCTCCCGAGCGAAGCGCGGAAGCTTAGACGTTCCTTCAATAATTAGGAAAAGAAGACGATTTAATGTACCGTTTTCGAATGTTAATCCTTGTCTGTTTCCCTTTTCTCTTTTTTCTTCTTTTGTCTTTTTCTTTCTTTTCTTTCATTTCATTTCTTTCCTTTCCTCCCACTTTTTCTTTTTTCTCTTTCTTTCTTCTTTTTCCTTTCTTTTCCTTTTTTTCTTTTCTTTTTTCTTTTCTTTCCCTTTCCCTCTCTTTTTTTTCCCTCCCCCTCTCTTTTTTTTCCTGACGGCAGCGCAATTTTACCGACAATATCCTGACAGGTGGGGGGGGGGGGGTGTCGCACCCCCCCCCCCCCTTTGGAGACGCCCCTGAGTGGACACCAAGTTTAAATGGTGTAAGATAGTGGATATCAAGACATAAAATGACATGAAATATTTGAAGTTATACACTTAAATTGTCAATAATAATTATGATAATAGCTAGTTCTTATATTATTATAATAGCGCTTTTCAGGACGTAAGGCCTTCTCGAAGCGCTTCACAATTATATATATTATTACCCCGGTCATCGAATTCAGGCTTTGCCGCACACATACTCCTTGGGGGAGCATTCCAGCCAAGCGCCGTTTTTACAAGCGCACACTTGCTAATCCAAGCAATTAAAAAACAGGTGCATTTCGCTGTGAACAGGTGCGATAACAATCGCCCTCAAAGCTACGTCTAAACTATGTTCCCAGCATCACGGCAGCCACGTTTGCCTGAAACATTCTGTATTCAAGATTTGTTGGGTGTTGCTAAGTTTTTGTCAAGGTCTATCACGGTATCCTTCCCCTCGTTGCTTCACGTCCATCCCTTTTTGTACGCAAAGGCCGGCGTGAATAGAAATGTAAACATAGCTTGAAATGACGTCACAATCGGAAAATGAGCGCCATTTTTTAGGGAAAGCTCAGTACGATTCAACAAGTTGCAACTTCAAGCATCTTAGTCCAGAATCCAGAACCTGGCCTATCTAATTTTGATCTCCACCACACCAACGCTACCTATCCCTACTTACTTGCTACCAGCCGATGATGGCGTGATCATTAAATTAAGACGCCCGGCGAAACTCATGCTGGGCTGGTGAGCATAATTATGAGTCTGTTGATAACACCATCTTCGACGGCTTCGATCAAGTGTGGGGAAATTATAAAGGACTGTGCAGATTCTGGACTACAAGCATCTCCGCCTGGCTGCCGCCACTACAACTTTAAGCATCTCCGTACGGCGGCCGCCAGCTGGAAACTTTAAAGTTGCAACTTTAACAACCTATTTTTGGCGGCAGCCGGCTGAGCCAATGATAGACGTGCCACCAGGCGGGGGGTGGATGGGCTGATTGAAGATTCCGGGGTAAAACTCAGATCCCAGCCTGGCGCAAGCCGGCTGGGCTAATTAGTGAAAATTAATTGCCCCAGCCAGGCTTCGGGCGGAATTGCAGCCTTGATCCGCCAATACGTGAGGCGGCAGCCAGCTGGTATCGATATTTTTGACGCCTCGCCTTAGGCAGTACGTGGACTTCAAAGGAAGATGCTTACTTTAGTTCATTGCACCAATCTGTCAACTCTAAATTATGGAATATGATATAGACTACAGTCTACAGAAACTGCTTATGGAATTCAAAAGGAAAGAAATACGTACCAGATGAACAACAGCAGCACATATGATGCACATGTAGAGAGCGGTCATAGATGATGAAATGGCTATACCAGCATTATCCGGTCCACTAGTCACTGGGAGAGTGTCTACACATTGTTTTTATTAAAACGAACAAGACAAGAAGTGAAAACATCGATAATCAGTTGGTAGTCATGTTACAAAGTGTGAACTATCACAATAAGTACTTTTTTGCCGACTCCTGAACCATGTTCACTGTGAGACTAGTATATTAAAGGGGCTGTAGCATGGGAAATGCTGATTGACGCTATCTACGTCTTCTTTTCGACAACTGCACATAAACGAATGGACTTGATTAACTGGGTCAGCGCACGCTAGCATTCGCGAAACAGACCGAAGGTCTCCACACGCTTCGGTTTTGCATATATTGTACCCACGTGAATAGGTAGGCCTACTGCGGTCGTGTCGTCCGTAGTCGAATTGTACCCGATAGGCCCCGAGTCCGGCAAAGGGGAAGACATGTAGTCTTGTCATGCTACAGCCCCTTTAATAAATCAAATTTGGGACTCGCAGAAAATGGAACATTTCATACATATTATAGATTAATGCATATATGTATAATATAGTGGAAACAATGCTTTCATTTACTTTATCTACCACACTGATAACATGTAGGGCCATGCATCTCAGATTTAACATTGTTAAACGATGCCTTTAAACAAGAACTCAACTGTCCTTATAAAAAACAAAAAACATAAAGACCTAGAAATGTTAACCTTGAAAATTGAGGAAAATTCTGTAAAGGATGCCAAATATTATTAAGTTCTGCATGATTTTGCGCTTGGTCGAGACAAATGGTGAATCTGTTATTTAACTGTAGTGTAAAGCACTTCAAACATTTTTTTGTATTAAAATCTCAGGATTATCTGTTTTCTATGACGAAAGCGATCATTGGTAAGTGTCCTCTTGATAATATTTGTAGACAATTGTGTTTCCACAGATATTTTTATAAGAAATAGATCTACTACTTCACCAACAACCAGGATAATTGGACAAATATTGAATTTTAATAATGAAACAGATGAGAGACTAGCGCGAAAGGTCAGTCCCATAGTTGCTAGTTGGTTGAGTACAAATTTAATATTTCAACTGTGGGATTTTCCTTGAGCATCTATCTATCTGTTTCTATTATTTGACTTCTGTAAACCCAATTTTGAATATCAGGGAGGAATTACTTTTTAAAACTTTATACAAATATTTTGAATATTGTACACTTCAATTAAACTTTTTGGATGACAGGTTCCCTTGCTTGAAAATGTGCATTTTTTGTTGTTGATTTTTTCTCCTATAGGTGTAGGTTATAGCTACCTACCTGTAATCATTTCACATGTTGGAGTTGAACCGTTCCAGACAGGAAGGTTTGGAGACACCCCTGTTGCGCACTGCAGTGTTCCACTACCATTAAGCCTGTATCCATCATCACATGTGAGATGAACAATGGAACCAACCCACGTGATGTTAGAATCCCATGATCCATTCATGACGTCATCCGTCTGATTACAGAAGCCAAAAGACGCTAAAAAGAAGTAGTAGAATGAAGAAGAAAGATAGAGCAAAATGACTAATACTTTAGACATGATAAAGGAACTCTATTTGCCATCATCATTGCAAGTGTTTTGGTAATTTTAAAGGCTAAGTCCACTCCAAAAAAAAAATTGCTTTTAATAAATGCAGAAAAACATGAGAAACAGAGCAACAAAAATTTGAGTAAAATTGGATAACTAATAAGGAAGTTATGAATTTTTTTTCGAGTATGAAAAAGTATGGAACTTAGAAAATCACTACACAAATTGCCAATTTGGTTATCAATTTGTGACGTCATTGCCTCACTATTTATTAATTCCTTTATATTTTTTTAAACCATTAATTTCCCTTTTTATCCAAAAAGACTTGATTTCCCCATGCCTTTTCCCAGGTTAGATGATTTGTGTTATAGTGCATGCATAATTTTCAAAGTTTTTCATGTCATTAAAATTCATAACATTTTTATTAGTTATCTGATTTTGCTCAAACTTTTTTTGATTGGTTTGTCTGATTTTTCTGCCTGTATAGAAAGTAAGTAATTTTTGGAGTGGACTTGCTCTTTGAGGCTGTTTAACAAAACATTATTTGTAAATATCCCAAATTTTCCCTGATTCTCTTTACCGGTAAATACATCTTCCTCTGAACATTTGTGATGGTGATTTGCTCGCCATCTATGATACCTACAAGATGTAGCTTGATAAATCTAGTTATTTGATAACAACTGTTAGAAAATCCATACCTGGCAGTTTGTAGCATGAGGCAGAAATGTTGAATCCATTCCCTGTTGGGTTTCCATTTGATGTTAATCTCAAAATCAAGCTGTTGTTCCTAGACATAAATGGAGGGATGGTGATTTCCTCTCCACTGTAGCACTGTCTATTTTGATCATCAGCAGGGTCTATGACCTCGACTTTATCTGAAGCCCCTAGACTGAAGTGATTGAAGGTCAGAAGGATCCTTCTTCCTTCCAGTGCATTGACATTCCATTCTTTGCGCTCATATAGCTGGTACATGGTTGGATAATTTGGAGATGTAATCACGGCTCCACTCGTGCAATTGATATGCACTTGAACTGCTACAAAGAAAGATAAAACAAATCATTTTAGCTACATCTGAAGATGTAATTTCAAAATGAAGGACGTAGGGGGAGAATTCACTCATCCCTTCATCCCATTCCTTGGCAATACAAAATTTGCAAGGCGAGCTTCATTATATTCCCCCAATGCCCATTTATTTATTGACAATATTTTGTTGTTCATACATGTACTTATAGTTGTATGCAATCATGGATCATACAGGAGGATAATTACATTTTATTCGTTTTGTACATGACTTATCAACTTGTGTGAATTATAACTATGTTTCCAATGTTAATTGATAGCAAATAAACCTCAAACTTTAAACTTTTGTGAACTTCCATTTAATAGTGGAAATGAAAAGTCATCTTTACACCATGGTCTGTACAATTCCATATGGTATTTCTGAAATCTTGTTATGCATTTTATCTTTCACCATATCATGGTAAAATATTCTCAGAATAAAGTTATTACCTATTTACATTGTTCTTCAAATTTAATCCTTTACCCTCCCATCGCCAAATCTGAAGATTTTTTGTTGTTGGCTCTAGATGTCAGGTTAAAATTCCCATCGAAATTATATATTTCAAATTCAGTTCCGAAGAAATACAACGCAAGAAAAAGGCCAAGAAAGGTAATCCCCTCAATATTCATATAAATGAACACTAAACAAGAAAATAGATTGACATCTGCTTGGGTTCCATATAATTGATATGCATTCATATTTTGTGTTAATTTTACATTACTTTTTTAAAAGTGTTTACAAATGTAATTTTTGAGAGCTTACCTGCACATGCGACCGGGATTAGGGTAAGGATAGCCATGGAAATTACAGCATGAGGAAATTTCCCAGCGATTTTCATGAACATCAAAATTTGAAGAATGATTGCCTGGAGACCCTTCTGGAGGACAGGATTGATTCCTTGTGTGCCCTCAAAGGCATGATGGGTCAAGTCACTGAAATACTGATAGTAGAGCTCGTTTGGTGTCTGGAGACCCTCAGAATTGAAAGTCTTGGATCTTTTCAAACCTTTATCCTGTCTCTGCAAATCTTCAGACCCTCCAGACCTCTGCAGATTCCCAGGGAAGACATTTTTTGATCTCTTTCGATCCTCCAATTGGTCGTGAACTGCATCAAGGAGAACAATATAGTGAAAAAAAAGTTATATTCAAATGTCAGTTAATTGCAGACATTGCGCTACTCAAATACCCTGATAAAGATGATGTTGACAAAATATATTCATATTGCAACTGAGAAGGAAAAAAGAGGGGGGGGGGGGTCCGATCTCCTCAAAGCAATAAAACCGTTTTAAAAGATATTGTTCACCACTTGGTCTCTTTTCAAGATCATAAACAAATTGATAAGTCTGGTAAAAAGGTTAACATGTGAAGGTCGTGGTATAGTTGTTAATATTACAGCACTCTCTATTCAAATTTGGGGATTCAAATCCTAACCCGGCACTAATGTCCTTGGGTAAGATGTTAATCCACATTTGGGACCCACATGAAAAGCATTATTAATACTGAGGTGGCTACTCTGGGAAAAAATCAATAGGAGACCATTCTATCTTATTTTTTCTAAAGATTGTTTCTTCACTTTTAGTCTTCGGAAATTACGAAACGGTGACTGTGAAATACTATTCTTAAATTATTAAACAATTGAAGGGAAAAAAAATGGTTATCAATGACACTTTGTCAATTGGAAATGATGATGAAATTCAATGGGTAAAATGATTACATGTACATGGTAGAGTGTGTATAGTGTAAGTCTGACTTTACCTTTGTTTGGGGAATTGCGAGAATGTGGGAGTGGCTCATCATCATGTTGACAGCAGCCTGACGTACCCACCGTACAAGTGTCCTCAGTGATGTTTGGAAGCAGGTTTTTCAAGGTCTCTGGTTTGCTGTAATCTGACATACATGTGTAAAGTGAAAGAAACAATACTTTTTCAAAGTTCAATCTTGATATTCAAAAATAGACACAAGGTACGTAAACAGTAGTAGTTTGAAACCATTGATGCTTATTATGGTACTGATTTTTTTGAAGACATTTAAAGTGCAAATACAGCTTCCTTTACGTACGGCTTGTATGTGTTTGTGTCATTTGTGTGTATGTGTTTGCACTCTTGTATAGAGGTTTGAAACAGGGATATATATTTATATATTAGTAATATATATATATATATATATGCACAAACCTTCCAAGAGGGGATACACCTCGAACCAGGGATATCCCGTTAACAAACGAGCGATATTTTTACAGAAAAAATTAATTTAACCTTGGAGAAGTCTACCATCTTTGTCTCGAAGGGAGTGAAAATCATCCACTTTCTACTGGTATAAGCCATACCCAGGCGTTTGAATTGTGTAAGATTTTGAGGGGGTAGGACGAACAAAGAGTAAACAGCGCCCACATGTGCATACACTCTGCCTATTTTTATCCACACTTGCCTGTATCACTAAATGCACAGGTCTTTGGGCACTGTACATGTTTACTAGGGATGTGATTTTCTCATTGAAACTTTGGACACAAAAATATCAAAGGGCTCCTGAATTTCCTGTTTTAAGGGGAGGTTGAGTTCTGGGAAGAGGTGAAAAAATAATGTGTGAGTGTTATTATTGTATTATGCAAGTGTGGAATAACATCAGATAAAAAAATGTTCCTTGAAAAGCATGACTCTTCAAATGCCTTAAAATATTAAATATGGCATGTAACATCATAAAAATTGGGACAGATTTTTATGCCACGTGTGCGTGTAGTCCCTATTTAGTTCTTGTTTTTTGTTTTGTTTTCAAATATGCAATGTACATGTAGGTACATGTATATGAATCCCTAATCAAAAGCACTCAATGTCTTTGGGTAAGATGTTAATCAACATTTGCCACTCTCTACATCTGTAAAGAGGTTCCAGGCAATGGCTGGGATAATAAGAATTGCAGGACCCACATGAACGGCATTATTAATACTGAGGTGGCTACCTAGGGACACTGATTTTCCGCGATCATGGAAAACGACTAGAATTTACGGAAATGACCATTTGAAACGGAAAGTCGCGGAAAACCCCTTTCACCTCAAAACTTTTCATTTTTCAAGAGGCGAAAAAATATCGGGCCTAAAATCATGGTTAATAACTCAGAATATTTAGCAATATTTGTCAGATTCTTAGGAGACAGGGCGCTGCCATTTTGTTTCACTGGACTAATAGAGATTGTGACACAAAACACGGTACAAATAGCAGCAAATCGATCCTATTATGCCAGCTAGGCGCCTAGTATTACGTAGACGTAATACTAGGCACACACATGCCAGCAGTGGGCGCTAAGTGCGGCGAGATTGTACACACACTGTTGTAAAGTTTGAAAAAGGGGCTGGCATGTGCGTTCCATCAGGAATATGTCGTGTTCTGACACATTCCGCTAACTTTAGTCTGCTTGTCTAATTAGAATTTGAAGTTGGTAAATCTAAACATTTGATAATTTTTCGTATATTTTCACTAGTATTTTTCATCAAGTTTATCCAGTCCCGTCAGTATGTTTTTGAGTGGTTATCAGTGGCAAAGGGGAATTTCGCGGAATTCCAGATTTTCTGAAATGGAGAATCAGTGTCCCTATCTACCCTGGGAAAGAATCAATAGGAGACCTATCCATTTTATTTCATTTAAAGATTGTTTCTTCCCTTTTAGTCTAGGGAAATTACTAAACGGTGACTGTGAAATACTGTTATTAGATTCATAGATAATACTTTATTTTTTAAATGGTATCAATGACACTTTGTCAATTGGAAATGATGATGAAATTCAATGGGTAAAATAATTACATGTACATGGTAGAGTGTGTACCGGTATGGTGTAAGTCTGACTTTACCTTGGTTTGGGGAATTGCGAGAATGTGGGAGTGGCTCATCATTATGTTGACAGCAGCCTCTCGTACCCACCGTACAAGTGTCCTCGGTGATGTTTGGAAGCAGGTTTTCCAAGGTCTCTGGTTTGCTGTAATCTGGCATACATGTATAAAGTGAAAGAACCAATGCTTTTTTAAAGTACAATCTTGATATTCAAAAATAGACACAAGGTACGTAAACAGTAGTAGTTTGAAACCATTGATGCGTATTATGGTACTGATTTTTTTAAAGACATTTAAAGTGCAAATACAGCTTCCTTTAGGTATGGCTTGTATGTGTTTGTGTCAATTGTATGTATGTGTTTGCACTCTTGTAAAGAGGTTTGTAACAGGGATATATATTTATATATTAGTAATATATATATATATATACACAAACCTTCGAAGAGGGGATACACCTCGAACCAAGGATATCCTGTTAACAAACGAGCGATATTTTTACAGAAAAAATTGATTTAACCTTGGAGGAGTCTACCATCTTTGTCTCGAAGGGAGTGAAAATCATCCACTTTCTATTGGTATAAGCCATACCCAGGCGTTTGAATTGTGTAAGATTTTGAGGGGGTAGGACGAACAAAGAGTAAACAGCGCCCTCATGTGCATACACTCTGCCTATTTTTATCCACACTTGCCTGTATCACTAAATGCACTGGTCTTTGGGCACTGTACATGTACATGTTTACTGGGGATGTGATTTTCTCACTGAAATTTGGACACAAATATATCAAAGGGCTCCTGTATTTCCTGTTTAAAGGGGAGGTTGAGTTCTGGGAAGAGGTGAAAAAATAATGTGTTAGTGTTATTATTGTATTATGCAAGTGTGGAACAACATCAGATAAAAAATGTTCCCTGAAAAGCAAAGCTCTTCAAATGCCTTAAAATTTTAAATATGGCATGTAACATCATAAAAATTGGGACAGATTTTTATGCCACATATGTGTGTAGTCCCCATTTCGTTCTTGTTTTTTATTTTGTTTTCAAATATTCAATGTAGGTATATGAATTCCTAATCAAAAGCACTCAATCTCTTTGGGTAAGATGTTAATCCACTTTTGCCAGTCTCTACATTGCTGTAAAGAGGTACCAGGCAATGGCTGAGATAATAATAATTGCAGGACCCACATGAAAAGCATTATTAATACTGAGGTGGCTACCCTGGGAAAGAATCAATAGCAGACCTTTCCATTTTATTTTATTTAAAGATTGTTTCTTCACTTTTAGTCTTGGGAAATTACTAAACAGCAGGGCTTAAATTAATCCAAGGCCACCAAGGCCATGGTCATGGATGCCCTTTCGATTGGCCTCAATGCCCCTGTGATTGGCCTTGGAGGTTTGTTGTACCCTTTCCAATTCTTCCTACTAGTGCTGTAATATAAGAATGTGCCCTACAGAAAAGTGCCCTTGCCCTAAAAATATTGAAATTTAAGGACTGAAACAGTGACTGTGAAATACTGTTCTTAGATTCTTAGATAATAATTTTTTTTTTGAATGGTATCAATGACACTTTGTCAATTGGAAATAATGATAAAATTCAATGGGTAAAATGATTACATGATGTACGTGGTAAATTTTGTACCGATATAGTGTCAGTCTGATTTTACCTTGGTTTGGAGAATTGCGAGAATGTGGGAGTGGCTCATCATCATGTTGACAGAAGCCTGTCGTACCCACCGTACAAGTGTCCTTAGTGATGTTTGGAAGGAGGTTTTTCAAGGTTTCTGGTTTGCTGTAATCTGGTATATAAAGTGAAAGAAACAATACTTTTTCAAAGTTCAATATTGATATTCAAAAACAGACATAACGTACGTAAACAGTAGTAGTTTGAAACCACTGATGCATATTATGGTACTGATTTTTTTAAAGACATTTAAAGTGCAAACACAGCTTCCTTTACTTACGGCTTGTATGTGTTTGTGTCATTTGTGTGTATGAGTTTGCACTCTTGTATAAGAGGTTTGAAACAGGGATATTATATATTCATAATATATACACACAAACCTTCCAAGAGGGGATACACCTCGAACCAGGGATATCCCCTGTTAACAAACGAGCAATTTTTTTTACAGAAAAAATTAATTTAACCTTGAAGGAGTCTACCATCTTTGTCTCGAAGGGAGTGAAAATCATCCACTTTCTACTGGGATAAGCCATACCCAGGCGTTTGAATTGTGTAAGATTTTGAGGAATAGAACGAACAAAGAGTAAACAGCGCCCACATGGGCATACACTCTGCCTATTTTTATCCACACTTGCCTGTATCACTAAATGCACAGGTCTTTGGGCACTGTACATTTTTACTGGGGGTTCGATTTTCTCACTGAAATTTTGGACACAAAAATATCAAAGGGCTCCTGTATTTCCTGTTTAAAGATGACGTTGGGTTCTGGTCATGCGATTGCATTGTGAAATAAATGGTGTGGAATTGACCAGAAAAGGTTGATCATCTAGCGTATAAGAATTTGTGTGTCTTGCAAAGTTCTGGAATCATCAAAATGATGAGAAATTTGGCCCAGTCTTGGTAAGTTACAAACACTGTACACAGAAAGATGTATATGGGACTACACGAACACGTGGCGTAAAAATCCTACCCCCCCCCCCCCCCCCCCGAGTTTTACATGTTACATGACATATTTTGAATATGAAGGCATTTGAAGAGCCATGCTTTTCAGGGAACATGTCTTATCTGATGCTCTTCCACACTTGCATAATAAGAATGATAACGCTCACAAATTATTTTTCACCTCTTCCCAGAACTCAACCTTCTCTTTAAAGGGGAGGTGGAGTTCTGGGAAGAGGTGAACAATAATGTGTTAGTGTTATTATTGTATCATACAAATGTGGAACAACATCTCTTCAAATGCCTTAAAATTTTAAATATGGCATGTAACATCATAAAAATTGGGACAGACTTTTATGCCACATGTGCGTGTAGTCCATAGAGATATATACTTAATAAGGCTAGAGTGCGGACTCGTCATACGCGCCCGTTCAAAGCTCTGTGCGCGCATGGAGCGCGGTCCGCCATTACTAAGGAGGGCACAACTTCGAGAAATACCCGGATGTTCCCTTCGAAACTGTGCTACTGATATGGAATGTGAAGCTTCATTTTTCGGGTTGATTGATCGGTTTTCGAGTATGAAACGTTATAATTGTGGTATTTTGCATAATGCATGAACCCTACTCATGCCTCAGTCATGGTATCTGGTGTAGGTCAAGATTAATTACGGATGTTATGGTGAGGTAAAAGGGACACAAAAAGCTATTTATATTTCAGTATATCTTCAATTTTTCTTCCTCTTTGTCAATATAAAACTGCGATATTATGACATTAAATATTACTTGGCTTTCAACCAATCAGAATCAAGCATTTGGGACTTGTATTTGATATTTATGTCATGATATTAAACAAAGTTTTATGCTACAGGGCCAATGCCGGGGGCCAATGTCTCTCTAATTCAGTTATTATGAGAGCCAGGGTTTATTGATTTAAAATGCTTTAAAGGTAATATATTCATTTTATGTTTACGACTATTATAAACAGATTGATACTTATAGATTTGGGATAGAGATGGGTATGTAGATAGCTAGACACATAAATAGATGGATAGATAGATATAACATAGAAGGATAGGTAGATAATGGAAATGCAGATAAAGGACGATACTGAAGATAGGAAGAGGGGGAAGGAAAGAATTTATTTTAAAAAATTATGTTATTTACTCATCCAATCATTCATCCATCCATCCAAACATTCTTTTTCTTCTTCTCTCACTCATTTTATATCAAATTCACACCTTATGTCTTTCACCCATTCTCTATAAAATCTCTATTTTTGTCTGAAAGAGTAATTCAATTTTTTACAGTTCACTATAAATATGAATATTCTTTAAAAACAGCTGATCATTGATGTAATAATTATTTATTCACACCACTTTTTTTCTCCATAAATAATATTCTCCTTGATACAGTGTATTTCTTATTTTCTTCATCAACCAGTTTTAGAGAATAAACTTATAATTAAATTTGAAGAAAAAATGAATAAATGAACCTTTTATTACCAAACGGCACACGTGTGTTGATATTCTACAGCATAGGCATTTAAGTTTTGACATTTTATCGGACATATATACTGCAATAATACATCACAATTGAAAAGACAGACATTGCAAAAACAACACCTCAGATTTTAGCCCCAAATTTACTGTCACGGATCATAGGCAACACAACCACAACAAATTGATTCGCCACCAAAGACAAGCATTACACATCCCAAAACCGCCACAATAACTCCCAAACATAAATGTCAGGAGGCCAATGTCTATGTGTCAAGATGTCAGCGATAACGAACACTTTATTAACTAGTCTTGGCTCCAAGCGCACGCAGGCGCGTCACATTTACAAATAATACATCGAGTAATAAATACAAACCAGAAATAGTAATTGAGCATAAATATTCCAAGTCACCTGTATTGCTATGAAGAACTATAATTGAAGAGACTTACATCTCAGGATACTGCACTACACTATTCAGTGAAACCTCATAGTAACATGGTCTTTTGACATCATTATTCATCAGGTGTAATAATAAATTTGAAACTGATTACCCTCAAATGTACACAGTAGATACAACAAGCCAAAGAGTGCACAATCTTATGGGTTTACATCTAGTGACATTATTCCATATAATTTTTCTGTTATCAAATCTCTTCAAAAGCAGTTTTCCATTTTGGAACAAAATTCAAACCTATGTACAAAACGATCTATGGGTGTGTATATGGTGTGCATTACACAGGCTTTTCAATTGCCACACATCTGTGAATTCTTCTCGTTTATTAAAAATGGGCTCACTTGATGTGAATTTCTTGCTTTTCATCTTTAATGATGTAAATCACTTGGTTGAGAGCAATCCAGACAATGTTATAAAAAAGGTCTACATGTTTATCTCAGGTTATCCATACTGTACCTGCAGAATCAAAGCGCATGTAGAGTGCAAATAATTTGCGAAAATTCGTCGCTGTTTTCACGAAGTGACGGTAGTGAAAAAAAAATGCATTCACTTTGCGTTACGATTTTCCTCACTACCGTCACTTCCTGAAAATAGGGACGAATTATAGCAACTGAATCAGATACAGCAGGTACAATCATGAAGCTTATAGAGTAAATATTCAAATACAGTGTACCTCACAACAACTCAAAATTCAAGTACATTTTGTTTAACTCCTAATGTAATCAATTCTCCTAAGTTCCACTTTAGTTTGCCTTCGTGTAAAGTTAACAAACAGAAAATTATGGTTAGGTTGTGCAACTGTCACAATGTGTCCCCAAAATTTTATTTCATTACACAGAACAAAAGTCTCAGATTGTTCTGTTTTTTTAAAAAGATTATTGAAAGCTCTCTCCAGTTTTAAACGGCTTCACAGTCAATCATCCAGTGGATAAGCTATGCAGACAAGAGGCAAAATATAAAAGACCGATCTGTCTTTGTAGTTTGTACGAATGAAGTTCTATGTTTTGTTTTGTTTTTCCTGAAAATGCGTTCTCTCCAAAGTTGTGTTGAAGTAGGTCAAGCTGATCCTGGCTAATGAGCTTGCTTTCGTGGACTTCCTGCAAGAGAGTCCTGGTTTTTCCATCTCTCCTGTTTACCTTGTTTCACCACTTTAAGCTGTTTCTTGGCATCCTGCACTTGCTGTCTGGTTATATTCAGTTTCTATTCAACTCAGACAGAAAAAGAATAGTCATGTTCTTTTGTAATGTCATAGGGTTTCTTTGGAGGCACGGGAACACTTTCGGATGTTGTACATGGTTTTGATGGGAGTCTTGAGCCATGGGTCTGTTTATAGGGAGGATGTCCAGGAAAGACAGTAGGCACAGCTCTAAGAATGTGATGTGGTGTGTAACATCCTTTCCTCTCTTGAGTGTATTCCTACATTACAATAAAAGCAAATGGAAACAATAATGAGTTTTTTCTCATAACATGACAATTGTTCTACTATTCATGCTATTTCATGTGATTTTTAAGACTGAAACTGAAAGCAGCTTCCAGCCAAATAAATAAAATAATAATGATGTCAGCAAGTCATAAGCAAATTTGATAGAAATAGTGTAGTGTGCGGTGGGATTTTTAGGATAGCCTAGCCTAGTTGGATAACTCCTAGTCTCCTGTGATGTGAAATTTGGCAGGCTAGCCTGGCTTAGACCAAAAGCTTCAGTCTCTCTATATCGTCGGTTGTTCTACTGAGACTGCGTCTGGCTCCACTAGACCTCTGATTATATTATGGGGAATGTCAACAAATGTCAGTTTTATTAAAGAAATGACCCATATATCAGACGGTTATTTCTGTCTAACCTGGCTTTGCCTTTCGGGCTTTAGAAATTAGAGAGTAGAGTTTAGAGCTAGAGTCTAGATCTAGATCTAGAGTCTAGTCTAGACCTATAGTTAAAATATAGATCTAAAGAAGTTGACATTTGATTTTTATCTTGAAATTAGATAAGATAAAATTAATTGTATCGTTTTATTCTAGACTTTTCTTTAATAGAATCAAGCACATGGAGTTATATTTCCGAGTTGGACTCTCTGGCTCTTGGAGTTGCGAGCGACTCCAGCGCAGCAGAATTTTCCCATCACCATCCCCAGAACCTTAACCCATGCCTGCCCCAGCCCGGCGGGCGTGGACTGGCGCGCTCCGCTGCTGCAGGAGCTGCGGTGGCTTGTCATGAGACAACCCGGGTACAGACTACAGTCACTGCATAAACTACATTTTTAGCTCTAAAATCTCCTTATTAATCAACATAACATTAAGAAGAACTTACTTGTGAAATATCATGCGGTTCCCTTTCTTTCTTCGGTTCGAACATCCAAATGCAACGCACGAACCTGGCTTCTCCAATTTTTTCCACGTATGTTGTGCACAGAATCTTGTTGGGTCGTTCGTTTTTCTGCCCTCCTTAGTAATGGCGGCCACAGCTCCAGGTCTACACAGCAATTTGAGCGAGTACGCCCTCTAGTGTTATTAAGTATATATCTCTATGGTGTAGTCCCTATTTCGTTCTTGTTTTTTGTTTTGTTTTCAAATATACAATGTACATGTAGGTACATGTATATGAATCCCTAATCAATAGCACTCAATCTCTTTGGGTAAGATGTTAAAATGTTAATCCACATTTGCCACTCTCTACATTGCTGTAAAGTGGTACCAGGCAATGGCCGAGATAATAAGAATTGCAGGACCCACATGAAAAGCATTATTAATACTGAGGTGGCTACCCTGGGAAAGAATCAATAGGAGACCTTTCCATTTTATTTTATTTATAGATTGTTTCTTCACTTTTAGTCTTGGGAAATTACTAAACAGTGACTGTGAAATACTGTTCTTAGATTCTTAGATAATAATTTTTTTTTTGAATGGTATTAATGACACTTTGTCAATTGGAAATGATGATAAAATTCAAAGGGTAAAATGATTACATGATGTACGTGGTAGATTGTGTACTGGTATAGTGTCAGTCTGACTTTACCTTGGTTTGGAGAATTGCGAGAATGTGGGAGTGGCTCATCATTATGTTGACAGCAGCCTCTCGTACCCACCGTACAAGTGTCCTCAATGATGTTGGGATAGAGGATTTCCATCGTTTCCAACTTGCTGAAATCTGGTATATATAAAGGAAAATAAACAATAATTTTGCAAAGTTCAATATTCTTGATATTAAAAAAGGGACACGAGGTAGACCCTACCTAACTTTGTTAGATCTAGTTTGAAACCATTGTCTTGATGCCATTTTGCCATTATGCCCCACTCCGCAATTTTTCTGATTGTTCTGGAACAGTAGAACGCATACGGATGGCGCCCTGCCTCTCGATAACTTTTTTCTTTCGAGTTTTGCGCATCTTATTCTTAGTTTAGATAGGGAGGCCAATGCCCGGGCGTAAGGCTTCTACACCTACGATTTGTGCGCTCGTCGCCCACTTCAAAAAATTAGCAAAGGGAAAAAAATGATGTAAAAATAAAAATTGAAGAAAATATGAAAAGAAAATACAATTATACATTTCACAACATACCTATAATCACGGATCTGTAACAGTCTTTCACCATTTGTTGACAATCTTGCAGATTTTGACGTTTTTTAATCCAATAATTGTGGTTGCAGACGACCTTGACGCACTCGCACCACCGACTAAGAAAATCCTAGAGGGCGTAGAGGTTTGCTCACTAAAAACCTTCTCATTGGCAGAAGGTAGACCCTAAAAATATGGGATCCGTTTTGAGTAAAGAACTTTTGATAGAGATCAACATTTCAGATGTTCACAATTGCCACTTCTAACAACTAGAAAATATAAAGAAAAAAGATTATATCTTTTTAAATACAGATTTTTACAAACTGAACATTCGAAAGTAGATAGAGTACGATGTTTCTGTCAATCTTGCGTTGGTTTGAGCCCTATAGCTACATCCATCTCAAAATGAGAAGGAAAACAGTGAACAGTGACGTCATTGTTCGCGCCAAAAATAAAGGGTATTGCGACATAATCTGAGCTCCGGTCAGATCGTGCCCAAAGCGTAGTCTTATTTATAGACCCTAGTACCTTATTCTCACAGCACTAGATACGAGTGTCGTGCAGTAATGTATGAGAAGTGTTAAAAAAGATATTTCAGTAAAAAAAAAAGTCTACGTGAGCAGTCTATACTCCAATTGAGAATTGAAATGAAAGCCATGATTTGAAGGTGTGTGTTGTATGATACATGGTTAGTGAGTGTGTATGTTACGTATAGCGAAAGGGAGAGAGAGAGAGAGAGAGTGAGAGAAATATTAGTACACGTACGTTGCATGCATGGATGTGCGCTATGATTGTGTTCGCTGCAAGATGGATTTTAATTGGACCTCGTAACTTCTCGATCGTTGATAATAAGGAATACTCATGAGGAAATCAAATTATTGGAATACACATCTAAGGTAAATATCAATGAATTATATATATTTCTTTCCTTTTTTGAACCATCGTCTTCGGCTCGTAGTAGTAGAAGATGTAATCGTTCGCACATTGATGGCTGGACTTCAGCCTGCATCGGGGCTTGCCTGTGTCGGTGGAGGGATCAACTAAGAAGAAGAAGGTGTGTACGTGTGCGACCGATTCAAGGCTAGCCGCTGTTGAGTGATTGCACTTTCGCGCAAAGTTTTAAACTTCATCATGAACTTTGTCCCTCGGGCCTGTCTAATTATGAACGTAACTTTGCGACATGAAATATAATTGTTTCAAGGCTCTTACGTACGGAAAGGCGTAGAAGGAAATGGCTACAAACCAGCTGGATATCTCCTATTTGATGGAACCTATGGAGTCGGCAGATGGGTGGATTTTCTTAGTGAAAGTAAATGCTTTCTTTTAATCTTAGTTTTAGTATAAACAAATTAGTAATTAAAAAGTTAGATTTGGGCATTGGCCTCCCTAGTTTAGAAACTAATTTTTCGAAAATCAGACCTAGTAGATCTACCATTACATTTACAAAGTCACGTGACCTTTTTACTTTGCATGTCAGCCCGAAAATTTCTCATTTTCGTGATTTGTGTACAAAACATTTCTATGGAAATCTCATTTTTCCAAAAAAAGAGATAAAACATTGGTTAGATCTATTTGGTCTTGTTTATTATAGATCTAAGGGCTCTACTTCGTAGCAGTAGACTACATCACATCGTACGAATGGGACCGAGTTAGACAAACTAAATTACAATACGCACCCGACTTGGTCTTGGGCGGAAATCTATCAGCAATTTCCACTCGTTGGACATTCGAATTTTGCTTGCTCTTCATACTACCCATTTTGATGAACACTGTTTCGAGACAATTAGCAATCAGATCAGATGTGTTGAAAGATCGTGTGCTCGGCTAGCTAGTTTTTGTTAACGTAGTAGATTCTAGGCCTAGATCTAGGTCTATTTTACAGTTTAAACTTCTGGGGTGAAGCTTTTCTTCGGGTGAAGCTTTTCTTCACACACCTAATCGGAGATGAAGGTAGCCCATCCAATGTGTAAAAAATGCCAATTTGATAAGTGTAAGGATCGCATTGTACACATACAACCGCTATACTACACACACGCAATATATTCTTTGTGTATTGTATCCGCCAGGCATGATCAGTGCAATGATGGCTGGCTACCAATTAAAATAGGCATGGTGATCGGATATAATGAGAGTAGATGATGGAGGGGGGGGGGGGGGGGGGGGTAAAGCGCAGTACTTAGGGGCAAATCAAAGAATTATACTAAGACCTCACCTCATTTATGTTAGAAATTAAAACGTTATTATCTTCTTTCGAATTGCAATATATCCCCGCACCATAATTATAAGCATGTCATGCATATATATGCCTTTTCTCTGGGAAAGGGGGCATTGACTCTATAAATACCAAATCACATAAACTATTCACCATTATGTCACCGTCATGTACATATTTTCTATGGATATAATTTTTCACGATCTCAACTTTTCACCACCCTAGCATCATGTAAATTGTCAATTATGGATAAAGTGGAATATTAACTCTTCACCACCCTATACGCTAACTTTTCACCACCCTTCCGTCATGTACATTATCTATGGATAAGCTGGAATATTAACTCTTCACCACCCTACGCTAACTTTTCACCACCCTACCGTCATGTGCATTGTCTATGGATAAGCTGGAATATTAACTCTTCACCACCCTACGCTAACTTTTCACCACCCTAGCGCCATGTACATTGTCTATGGATAGGCTGGAATATTAACTCTTCACCACCCTACGCTAACTTTTCACCACCCTGCCGTCATGTACATTGTGGATTATTAACTCTTCACCACCCTACGCTAACTTTTCACCACCCTTCCGTTATGTACATTGTCTATGGATAAGCTGGCATATTAACTCTTCACCACCCCACGCTAACTTTTCACCACCCTAGCGTCATGTACATTGTCTATGGACAAATGGTAATATTAACTCTTCACCACCCTACGCTAACTTTTCACCACCCTAGCGTCATGTACATTGTCTATGGATAAGCTGGAATAATAACTCTTCACCACCCTACGCTAACTTTTCACCACCCTAGCGTCATGTACATTGTCTATGGATAAAGTGGAATATTAACTCTTCACCACCCTACGCTAACTTTTCACCACCCTAGCGCCATGTACAGTGTCTATGGATTATTAACTCTTCACCACCCTACGCTTACTTTTCACCACCCTTCCGTTATGTACATTGTCTATGGATAAGCTGGCATATTAACTCTTCACCACCCTACGCTAACTTTTCACCACCCTTCCGTTATGTACATTGTCTATGGATAAGCTGGCATATTAACTCTTCACCACCCTACGCTAACTTTTCACCACCCTAGCGCCATGTACAGTGTCTATGGATAAAGTGGAATATTAATTTTTCACCACCCTACACAAACTTTTCACCACCCTATAGCGCCATGTGCATTGTCTATGGATACACTAGAATATTAACTTTTCACCACCCTACGCTAACTTTTCACCACCCTAGCGCCATGTACAGTGTCTATGGATAAACTGGAATAGTTAATTTTAGATTTAAATTTAGTACATGTAGAGAGGCGCGGATCCAGGGGGGGCGAGCGGGCCTTGCCCCCCCCCCCCCCCCCCGAAAAAAAAAGGAGAGAAAGAAAAGGAAAAGAAGGGAAAGGGAAAGAGGAGAAAAAGGGAAAAAAAGAGGAAGAAGAAGAAAAAAAGAGGGAAGAAGGAGATCGGGGGGGGGGGGGGGCAAAAGGAATTGCCTCCCAGGCTGCTGCCCCCTTCCCCAATCAAAAAATAAAAGAGAAGGAAGGAAAGGGAAAGAAAAAAGGAAAAGATGAGATAAAGGGAAGGAAAAAAGAGAAGAAGAAAAGAAAAGAAGGGGGATATCAGTTGCAATTTTCCCGATCGGGGGGGGGGGTGGAGGCAAAAGGCCCTTGCCTCCCCCCCCCCCCCCCCCCCCCGTCCCCGCGTTAAAAAAAAAGAGAAGGAAGGAAAAGGAAAAGAGGAGAGCTAAAAGGGAACAAAAAAGAGGAAGAAGAAAAGAAAAGGGAGAAAAGAAGGAGAGATCAGTCGACAATGTGTGGAGCGGAGTGGGGGCCAAAATGACCTTGCCCCGCCCCCCCCCCCCCAGGCAAACTTAAAAGAGAGAGAAGGGAAGGGAAAGGGAAAGAGGAGAGAAAGGGAAAGAGCAAATAGAGAATGAAGAAAGGTAAGGGATATCAGTTGTAATTTTCTCGTCAACAAGGTGTAAATCGGGGGGGGGGGGGAGAACTGGCGTACTGATAGGGGAGGGGGGGGGGGGGGCTTTGGGGAAATAAAATTCAAACGTGGTTTATTTCTAATTCCATAACGGTGGTTTACAAATAATGCTGAAATGACATAATTTTCCGAGATTTTTCATCACTTTTAAGTAAATTGTACTTTTGTATGCGTTTGTTGGAAAATGACAAATTCCTAAATTTACAGCCAGGCAAGAAAATGCTACTTGAGATGCCTACATGTCAGGGCCCGCGGAACGGCGGGATCCTCGAGCCCCCCCCCCCCCCCCCCCACTTTTTTTGAAAAAGTATATTAAAGAGAAATAGAAAGAAAGAGAGCAAGAAAGAAAAAATAGTTAACTGCCAGTGTCACATTATAATGATGTATCAAAATATGCTCATCTGACCATGATTAAATTAAAGGCCTGAAACCACGAGGGCTCAGCCCCCCGGATTCCACCTGGGGCCCTAAGGCGGGCCCCTTGATACTCATCTGACCATAATTGAGTGCCTAAAACCCTTGAGTTCCCCTGAACCCCACGCCAATTAGTGACCTGCAAATGTCACAATTAGGTATCAAAATAATGCTCATCTGACCGTAATTAAATGCCTAAAACCCCTGAACTTCCGGGGGAAGACAAGGTATCAACATAAGTTCATCTGACTGCAGGCGCGTAGCCAGGGCGGGGGGGGGGGGGCGGTGGGGTGGTCCCCCAAAAAACGCGTAGCGAGGGAGCGCGGGAGGGGGAAACTGAAATCAGACGAAGAATATTTTCGAGAGCGGTACAACGAATCGTCTTCTTTCTCTAAAAATTGAATGAAACGTCGAAACTTCCGCGCTTCGCACGGGAGGGGGGAACTGAATTTAGACAAGGATTAAGAGTCGAGAACGGTACAACGAATCGTCTTCTTTCTCTAATGATTTAATGAAACGTAAAAGCTTCCGCGCTTCGCGCAGGAGGAAGAAAATAAATTCAGACGAGGATTATCTTCGAGAGCGGTACAACGAATCGTCTTCTTTCTCTAATAATTTAATGAAACGTCGAAGCTTCCGCGCTTCGCGCGGGAGGAGGGGGAGGGGGACTGAATTTAGACAAGGATTAAGAGTCGAGAACGGTACAACGAATCGTCTTCTTTCTCTAATGATTTAATAAAACGTAAAAGCTTCCGCGCTTCGCACGGGGGGGGGGGGGGGGGGAACTGAAGTTAGACGAAGATTAAGAGTCGATAACGGTACAACGAATCGTCTTCTTTCTCTAATAATTTTTTGAAACGTAAAAGCTTCCGCGCTTCGCACGGGGGGGGGGGGAACTGAAGTTAGACGAAGATTAAGAGTCGATAACGGTACAACGAATCGTCTTCTTTCTCTAATAATTTTTTGAAATGTCAAAGCTTCCGCGCTTCGCGGAGGGGGGAGGGGTAAACTCGCCCCTACTTGCACCCACCCCCTCCCAATTACGCCACTGCTGGTCACCATAACGTACCAATATTTGGCTCGCATGATTTCAAATTGCCCCCCCCCCTAAGAAATCCTGGATCCGTGCCTGCATGTAATGCTCATGTACCCCTTACAGCTCTATTTATTACCAAAGCAAGTCAATCATTCATTCAATAGCGTCTGACGGTCAAGTCTTAAAAGTAAACAGGTTTCCTTGCATAATTTGAATTCTATAGGACACTGCTGACAGATAGGACATACGTGACATATTCACAATTCCTGCAAAGTTCTTCAGACTTTCATGTTGGCTGAAAAAGAGATCATGGGGTTCAAATAAAACCTTTAAGAGATTTATTATTTCCGATCGGTGGGTTTATGTATAAGCAATTGCTTCACGAGGATGAACTGAAATAAACAGTTGCGATCCCCTTCTGTCGCCTATATAAATTTAAAAAAAAATATATAGTGCTTGATATGTAGACGGGTGAGATACTTTAAAGGTACTATGTCCCTTTTGCAGCCAACCTCAAATGCTGTAGAACTTTACAGGAATTATGAATATGTCATGTATGTCCTATCTGTGAAATTTAAACGTTAGCAGTGTCCTCATATTCAAATTATGCAAGGAAAACCATTTACTTGCTAGACTTCACTGTCAGACACTATTGAGTGACTGACTGGCTTTTTTTCTTCTTTGGTAATAACATACATGAAAAGAGTTGTAAAGGGTACATGAGCATTTGTCTACATCAATAACCCACTTCTTGTGATGGTCAAGATTAAACTGATTGAATCTTTGCGCAGCATAAAACGTTTGACCATTCGGTACAATGTCTGAAAATCAAGACTATTACTTTAGGGCTCTATAGCCCTATTGTCGATTTGAACTAATAGTCATTATTTTCCCACTTGAAGACATTTTCAAGCCCCACCTTTTTTAGGGAAGTTCTAAATTAATATTATCTTTCAAATGCAGTTGGAATTTAACTTTTTCATTTTTTTGGCCTGCAAATGGGACATAGTCCCTTAAACAATGAAACAGTCCTCTTTATTTAACAGACTATCAAACAAATTATAAAACTTGCACTCTCCAAAATATTATCGTCAAGAATTTAAAATTCTATTGTACTAGCCTGTATATCTTTTTCTAATACAACTGTAGAGAAAACATATATTGTAACATTCTGTAATATGTGGAATATATTTTACAAATG